GACTCATCAGGTGGAAGTGGGCTCGGTTGGCTTTTTTATTTGAATCCTTTTTCTACCCACAAACAGTTCGCATGGTGCCTCCTCCCGTAGGGCCCCAGTTTAGTAATTCAGCCTTGCAGGATCACAGCCTACAATTCAGTGTCGGGGCCCTGCCCCTCTTGGGACCGAAGCCACACCCCGATGAAGCTGGCTGGGATGCGGTTAGCCATTTAGGGCTCCCTGGGGAAAGCCTGCAGTGGTCTCCAGACTGACAACCCAGAGCAGCCTCAGTGTCTGGTGTATGGCTTGTAGACTGCGTGTGGATTACGTGTGGATTACAAGAAGAAGGTGGAGGTACCTAGGAGTTCTGCCCCCTCTCTGTGGCTACTCTGGTGGGGCAGGTGGAGGCATGCTGCCCTCTGTCACGGTGGGGCCAGGAGTGCGTGTGAAACTAAAATGGGGTGCGTTCGCTCTGCGCGGATGGCAACCTTCACGGAGCGGCTCTGTCTGTCACAGATGACTGGCTTCCTTTCACTGAGTATGTTTTTAAAAAAAAGACACGGTCTTCTCCCTGTGCCGTTTGTGCTGTTTCTCATGGGCTGGTGTCCTCCCTGCTCCTCTCTCCCAGTTTGGCATGGGTGTGACCCTACATTTTGCTGCTGGGTATCCTTCAAGATTTACCGTGAAATAATTGAGAAGTGTCCCAAGTGCACAATAACCAGAGTCATGAGGATGGGGGGCGGGGGTACCTGAAAGGTTTATATAGACCCAAGGTGTTTGTGATACTATGTGTGCAAAATGTAACAGCTCTTAACTTAAGAAATAATAATAAAGTGTCCTCTCGCCAGAACTGTGATCTTCTCTTTAATTTCACTCTTGCTCTTAGCAGTTTCAGTGTAGGGCTGGGCTTGTCCCTGGCAGGTGGACTTCTTAATCCCCCTCCCCCGCAGTTGAAGAGCCCATCACGGGGTTCCTGGCAGCACCCACGGGCTGCCACTGAGTCTTATCTCCTGGTACAGCTTAGCTGTTAGTCTCTGTTGGGATCAAGGCTTCTTCCACGCGTTCTGAAACGCATCTGTCCGTGTTAGTAGTCTGTCTGCAATTTAAAAGGAAAGTAAGCCACTGTCCCTCATGGGCAAAATTCAGAGCCCATTTTTTTTATTCTGCTTCATGAAAGTAATTGTAAGGTTTGGGTCAAAGGCAGGGCAGTGGCTTACTAAGAGTGCGGCGGTCTTGCGTTTGGAATACGGAAATGTAATGTACCAGCACCTCGGGGTCTGGTTGGTTTTGTAACGTTCGGCTCATGTTACATGGATAATCAGGGGAGGAGAGTCAAGTACGGCCCAGCTCATGCCACTCATACCTCGTTCTTCTTTCAAGATTAGCAGTGCTAATTTAAAAGGTTTTTAAAACTTTTAAACCGTGAAGTTATAAAAATAAACAAATGAGTTTTCAAAAAAAATAGAGTTCATGAGATTATAGTCACAGACTTTTTTGGTAAACTGTAAATGAAAATAGTACCATAACACCTTAGCTGTTTGGTACCCTGGAAGAATTGACACAATTTCCCAAAAGTTGAAATTTTGTTACCTTTATTTACTTAACAGAGATAGAGCAGGCACTGGAGGAGGCAGGCATAGAGGGGGAAGCAGAGTCCCCACTCAGCGGGAAGCCCAACACAGGGCTCGATCCCAGGATCCCAGGATCAAAACCTGAGCCGAAGGCAGAGGCTTAACGACTGAGCCACCCAGGCCCCCTCTGCTCTTCCCTCTTAATTGGAACAGACTTGTTTTAGTGTTTTTGGTGACAGCTTTGTCTTTATTCTGAATGTCAGTTCTTACACTGCGTTAAAGAAGTGAATCACGCTTTTGGGAGCTTCGATGTGTGTGGGACGTAGCAGCGCCCCGAGTGACCCCAGCATCCCTTGCTCTAGAGTAGAGCACAGTGTCCTACCTGTGCCCCGCCACTTAATGGCATGGTGGCCTCAGGCACGCAGTTTGAGCTCCCGGCATCTCTCTCGGTCCTCACCAGGTGTCTCTTGCGGCAAACACAGGCTTCTTTGCTTCCTAGGGTCCAGAACACGAGAATGCCAGGTAGGGTCCAAACATACAAGCCATGACGACAGACTGAGCACATTAAGTGATCCTGGCAAACAGGAGGGTGAATGAAGGGTAGCGTGGAGAGAGGATGGAAGTCAAGCGAGGAAGTAGTTCAGAAAAGGAAGCCTTGGGGCACCTGGGTGGCTCAGTGGGTTAAGCCTCTGCCTTCTGCTCAGGTCATGATCAGGGTCCTGGGATTGAGTCCCGCATCGGGCTCTCTGCTCAGCAGGGAGCCTGCTTTCTCCCCTCTCTCTGCCTGTCTTTCTGCCTACTTGTGGTCTCTGTCTGTCAAATAAATTTTAAAAATATTAAAAAAAAAAAAAAAGGAAAGGAAAAGGAAACCTTTTCATTGGAAAAGGTTGGACCCAAACAGAGTCGTGATGGTCACTCGTTTAAAATGATTGAGCGAGGGGCGCCTGGGTGGCTCAGTGGGTTGGGCCGCTGCCTTTGGCTCGGGTCGTGATCTCAGGGTCCTGGGATCGAGTCCCGCATCGGGCTCTCTGCTCAGCGGGGAGCCTGCTTCCCTCTCTCTCTCTTTCTCTGCCTGCCTCTCCGTCTGCTTGTGATCTCTCTCTCTGTCGGATAAATAAATAAAATCTTTTTTTAAAAAAATAAATAAATAAATAAAATGATTGAGCGGTCACTGAGCACTCGGAATGTTGATAAATCAGGTGCGAACCTGCGCTTTCCTAAGTGTCCCTTCAGCAGTGTCTCCTGATTCCCTTGCCCTGCCCTGTGCCGCTTCTGGGGACCCGCAGTTTCCCACCAAACACGTCCATTCAGGTGGCAATGTCTGCGTGCCCGCTGTTTGCGTTGGGGGGTGCGGAGAACTGGAAAACATAATCACCTGGCCCCCGCCCTCAAGGAGCAGGTGTGGGGAAGCAAGAAAAATACTACACAGGATCGCTGACTGTGTTTCAAGCCACAGCAGGTGCTGAGCAGGTGACTCGGAACGCGGCGCCTCATCCAGCCGGGACAGAAGGACAGGCCTTGGAGAAGGACTCTGAGCAGGGAGGGACCGTCGCTGTGAAGAGGGTGACGACATGAGTGACTGAAGGCAGGAAAGCCCAAGGGCACGGGGGTGCTCACTGGGGTGCAGGTGGATGGGGGCACAGCAGGTCTCTGGGCTCAGGACCCCTTCATACTCCTAAAAATTATGTAGGAGCTTTCGTGTATTTGGGCTTACCTACCAGTATTGACCCTATTCCAAATTAAAGCAGAAAAATAAAGTGTATTTTTATTATATTTATCGCTTTGGCAGCACATATGCTAAAATAGAGAATAATAAGCCAAGGGATGCCTGGGTGGTTCAGTCGGTTAAGTGTTTGCCTTTGGCTCAGGTCATGATCCCAGGGTCCAGGGATTGAGTCCCGCATGGGGCTCTTGCTCAGCGGGGAGTCTGCTTCTCTCTCTACCTGCTGCTCCCCCTGCTTGTGAGCTCTCTCTCTCGGACATATAAATAAAATCTTTAAAAAAAAGAGAGATTCACTTCTAATCGTTAAAAAAAAAAAGAAAAAGAAGCCAATGACATGTTCACAGAAATAATGTTTTTTATGAAAAGAGCCATATTTTATGAAACAAAGACCAACTTAGCGGCATTGTTTTATGTTGGTGCAGATCTCTCCCGTGTCTGGGTTCTCCCGCCTGCTGCTGCATTCGCTCTGTTGCGGCATGTTTGGGTTCACGTGTACGAAGATACATGTTTGGGGAAAGGAGAGTGTCTTACAGCCTTTTCAGATGGTTAGGGACATTTTCTCGATGTGACACCAGAACTTAAATGGCAGCTTCTTGAAGGAACATGCAGTGTGGATTGTGAAACCATGGAACCCGCTGTCCATACATTTTATTCCATTAAAATCCAGTGGGCTGACTTTCACTCCGAGTGGTTCGCTTGCCCTTGAATGATACTGTAACACGATTTATTGATCACTTTGAAAATACTGGTTCCCTGGGTTTGCAAATCTTTGGAGACATTTTGCCAGTGTTGGACCCGTTCTAGTGTATGTATCGCTAAATCCTGTGGGTTCCCGTCACCGCCCCGCTCCTCCCCCCCAGAGCAGCTGTCAGACACACGCTGGCCGGTGGTTTTCCACACTTCCCAGAATACTGGAAGATCGTGCAGGGCTCCTTCCCTGTCCAGCCCCAAGATGACCCTCTAGACTTGTTTCTTATCTCTGTTGTGTCGTGGTAAGGATTACGTGGGGGAAAAATAAATGTGTAAATGTGGAGAAAGCTTATAGTATGGCCCTGGCCCAGACAAGCACTCACCGAGTCACATGAGTGTTGTTACTTACTATCTGCGCTGTTTTTATACCGTTGTCCTCATGAAGATCACCAGGTATCCTACGTGGTATGTGTTGACTGTGGCCCAGAATGAGGAATGAAACGTGTTTCGTGGCACGCTGGGGTGGTGACTCCATGTGTTTGCAGACTGATGCCACTAGCTCTGTTTGCCAGCAAGCCAAGGGACATCCACGTGCCCTTGCCCTGTCACTCAGCTCACCTTGCCTGTTCTGCAGGTGTCACTGGTGGGAAGGTCTGGCCCACCCCAGACTGGGGCCTGTGGTTTGGCCCTCGTTCCCTTGCCTAGCACAGCACTAGCGTGTGATAACTGGTGCTCAGATGATATTTGTTGCGTGAACGAATGCATTGAGAGGGCTTATTTTGAACCGTCCTCTCAATGTGGTTTAGAGAGTAAATAGTATAAAAATTATATCCTACAACGCATATGAGCTGAGCAGTGACTAGCTGCTAGTTGTTTTTCTGTTTGGGGAGTGTTCGACCTCTCTCTGTCCCTTCCCTGTCTCTCATCTTGAATCTCTATTAATTCAAAATAAAAATAGTAGAAGGCTTAAAAGTGTTTCACAGTAATTTGGGGTTAAGCATCTTTGCGATCAATATCCTTTGCTTTCTGCTTTTCAGATGTTCCTCCTGCTGATCAAGAGAAGCTTTTTATCCAGAAGTTACGTCAGTGTTGTGTCCTCTTTGACTTTGTTTCCGATCCACTAAGTGACCTAAAGTGGAAGGAAGTAAAACGAGCTGCTTTAAGTGAAATGGTAGAATATATCACCCATAATCGGAATGTGATCACAGAGCCCATTTACCCAGAAGTAGTCCATATGGTAAGTGCTTGTCCCAGCCCTGACTCACCACCAGGGCCCCGGTATCCTCAGCGTCAGCTGAGCCGGTGGGGCCTAACACAACTACCCCCTCAAAACAGTCCTCGTGTGGCGAAGTTCGTACTGGAAGAATGACAATCTTTGGGATGTGTCCGGTGTCCAAGCGGTGACAGTGAGAGAAACCGGTACCTTCAGGGTCCAGTCCGAGTGCCGTGTGTGCGTTAACTTCTTTAACTCCCTGAACACCCAGGGTTGGGTACCTTGGAATTCCCAGTTATTTTTGTACCCTCCTTAGTGTAACAGTGCCGATTATAGTTTAAAAGTAAACATATATTGCCTGTACATGTGCAGGAAAATTGTAATGATGGGGCAGAGTTAAAATAGTGATGGGACCAAGCTTGTGTTGGGACAGGGCGCCCTGACTGGCCAGCGGCCTCCAGTCAATGCAGTGTCGAGACAGGCCGCCCTGATTGGCTGACGGCCGCTGTCATTCTGTGCTTGGTTCCAGGTCGGTTTCATTCAGCTCCGAAGCTCAGTCCTCTGCCGGCTCCTACTCCGCAGCCTGTCTCCGGGCCCGCTGCGGGATCCCATTTGGAGCTCATACTGTTTGACCTTGAATTCATTTTCTGTTGAGTGTTTTTGGAATTGTTGGTGTTTTTTCCACCTTTGAAATGAGAACTCCCTGGTTATAAGGGGAGTCCTTGCTACTTAATATAAAATTTTATATCCTGATTTTCGTTGAACTCCTTCTTAAGTTGCAGAATTTTTTCCTCCACAGCTATATGTTTCAGAATTGACTAATCTCATGACCTGAAATACGTTTATTTCTCACTTTCATATGTTGCTTTGGGTAAAGAATTTGAAAGTAATGTACCTTTTTGTAGTTTTCACAATCTGTTGTGTCAGAAGTTGAGATCAACTTGATTATTTTAATTTGTTGTTAACTCAAGAGTTGAGAATTTACCAATGTGTGGCCAGGCCAAGGCTGCGAGGGCCACGTGGTTCCCCTCCCCAGACCACGTGATGAGTGTCCTGACGCTCTTCCCGTTCAGACTAAGAAAAATGGGAGACTCTCTTTTTTTACTGCTTAATTTCAACTCTCATTTACTTTGGAAGGCCTCCCAAATGCCAGAATCTCAAAGAACAATCTAATACTTCTCCTGACACCTTCATGATTTTGTTGTTCACAATACCTTTTATAATCCTCCTGGAATTTTGTTTTCTTTTATGGTGCAGAGGAGGGATGTAACTTTATTTTCTTGTAAAGTGATTGAAAAATCACTGCTCTCTGAGTCATATATTCCCTTTTCCCTTTTTTTTTTTTTTTAAGATTTTATTTACTTATTTGAGAGAGAGAGCATGAGGTGCGGGGGCAGAGGGAGGGAGAGGAAAGGGAGCCTGACTGGGGCTCGATCCCAGGACCCTGAGATCATGACTTGAGCCAAAGGCAGACGCTTAACAACTGAGCCACCCAGGCACCCCTCCCCTCTTATTTTAAATGCTTCTTTATTACATATTAAATTTATTTTATCTTTAAATTAGACCCATTTATGAATATGTTTTAATTTATAAGCACATCAGTTTGTTATGTATTAAATCACTTGATTGGAAGGTTTTTCCATTGTTAAGGAGGGAAGAGTCTGCAGAGCATGAGGCCGTGGTTGGCCTGGTTTGGGTCAGACGCCAGCCCTGCACCGGGGCCCGCCCTGCTGCTCGGATCACCGTCCCTCGAGCTGACGCAGCAGGCACATGTTACCTAAACTCCTCAGGATGCTAAAAGCCCTGGAACTTTTTTTTAGGTTAAATAATCGTTAACTTTTCTCCCTGTTACAATTGTGTCCTAACTGGGTTCTCTTCCTGCTGTCTTCACTTTGTCCCCTCCCCCAAAATTCAGGTTGGTCTTTGGAGTGTTGCACAGTGGACCCCCTAAGACACTTAGAGACCCTTATTGAGTGAGCATCCACTGTGGGCCAGGAACTTTTTTAGGGGAGGAAATAGAGTAGTGGACGGTACTTCTGCCCTCCCAGAGCTTTCCTTTTCACAGGGACAGGCAAAAAGAAGAGAGTATGGTGGGGATGATGGCAGTGGTTTCTGGCCCTGGGAGAGGTAGAGTGTAGGTGTGCAGAACTCGAGCGCCCTGTAGAAGGCCTTCACCCCAAGCAGTGCCTGGACCCAGTGCGGCAGGTTGAAGAGATGGGGACCCCTTTGCGGTTCCCTCTGGATGCCCCCACTTTGCTGACCCTTGAGGCAGCACTTAGCCAGCTCCCGCGAGCATTGCGTGGTCGGTGTGCGTGCTATCAGCGCGTTTTTAAGGACACGCATTTCCACTTACTTGGGAGAATCCAAAGTTCTATAGATGTTATACTCCTCCTGCTACTTCTTTTAAATATGTTGCCTGTCAGACTGGGCTGTTGTATGGTTTTTTCTTTTTAACAAATGCCCATGGGGTGCCAGGGTGGCTCAGTCATTAAGCGTCTGCCTTCGGCTCAGGTCATGATCCCAGGGTCCTGGGATCGAGCCCCGCGTCAGGCTCCCTACTCGGCAGGAAGCCTGCTTCTCTGTCTCCCACTCCCCCTGCTCTCTCACTGTGTCTCTCTGTCAAATAAATGAATAAAATCTTAAAAAATGTCCTGAGAGAGAATTCAGGTACCATGCAAGTCACCCATTTCAAATACACAGTCCCGAAAGCGATGGTGGAGAGGTGGGGTGCCCGGGTGGGATCCACGGCAGGAGAGAAGCTGGAGTATGTGCAGGACGGGGACATGGGTGCACCCCAATGTATGTAATGGCAGGGGCGCTTAGCAATTGGAAGTAATGGATGAATTAGATGTAAGAGATGAAAACAGTAATCGATGTACATAGCAAAGTGGGTCTGGGGCCATTGAGAAGAAAGCAGTAGTAACGGGAAGATGGTGTCTTTTTGGTATTTTACAGCTGCTCTGTGACTTCGGGAGGAGCGGTACTTCCTGTTAACTTTGCACTTGTCTTTGTGCCGTCACCCCAGCCCAGCTAATAGCAAAGATGTTCTTTCTCGCTCTGAGCCCATTTTCACTCTTTCTATCCCACAAAGGTTTTCACTCTTTCACTCTTCTTAGCTGAGGGCAGGGGAGTTCAACCATAGAACATTATTCTGTAGAATTCAGATCTTAACTGTTGTCTGGGTCCCGCTCACCTAACGATGTTTCGCAGAACAGAGGTTGTGGTTGCTTCAGCAGCAGCGTAGTGATGGATGGTCAGACAGGACAGTGGCTGCATTCCGGGATCCAAGACTCTGGAGGGCCCACATCTGAACACTGTAATATGACAAATACTGGAAGAATGATGGAGGTCAGAATATGAGGTCCACTTGTAAGTCAGCGGCCAAGTTGACCCAAGTTAAATGAAAAGAGCAGATCTCATTTTTAATCTGAAGAGTGTGCAGAATCAGCTGTTGGGGTACCAGCAAAAATACCACATGCATTGATTTGCTTGTTTGTTTCTCTGATATTTTTAGTGATGTTAAAGATCTCGTAGAGTCGGTCGCCAGGGGCAGCGCAGTTGGTTAAGCAACTGTCATGATCCCAGAGTCCGGGAATCAAGTCCCACATGGGGCTCCCAGCTCTGTGGGGAGTCTGCTTCTCCCTCTGACCTTCTCCCCTCTCCTCCTCTCTCTCTCTCTCTCAAATAAATAAATAAAATCTTTAAAAAATAATAATAATAGGGGCACCTGGGTGGCTCAATGGGTTAAAGCCTCTGCCTTCGGCTCAGGTCATGATCCCAGCATCCTGGGATCGAACCCCGCATCGGGCTCTCTGCTCAGTGGGGAGCCTGCTTCCTCCTCTCTCTCTCTGCCTGCCTCTTTGCCTACTTGAAATCTCTGTCAAATAAATAAATAAAATCTTAAAAATAATAATAATAGGGGTACCTGGGTGGCTCAGTGGGTTAAAGCCTCTGCCTTCGGCTCTGGTCATCCCAGGGTTCTGGGATCGAGCCCCCCATCGGGCTCTCTGGTCAGTGAGGAGCCTGCTTCCCCATCTCTCTCTGCCTGCTTCTCTGCCTACTTGTGATTTCTGTCTGTCAAATAAATAAATAAAATCTTAAAAAAATAATAATAATAAAATATACAAGCCCATGATTTTTAGTATATTTACAGAATTGTGCAGCCATCATCACATCTCATTTTTTTTTAAAGATTTTAAAGATTTTATTTATTTATTTATTTAACAGAGAGAGAGATCTCAAGTAGGCCTAATGTGGGGCTCAATATCAGGACCCTGGGATCATGACCTGAGCCAAAAGCAGAGGCCTTAACTCATTGAGCCACCCAGGCGCCCCCACATCTCATTTTTTCAGAACACGTTCACCCCCTAAAAAGAAGCCCCATACCCAAGAATAGTCACTGCTGTTGCTCCCTAACCTGTCACCCCCAGCCTATGGCAACCACTCACCTACTGCCTTCCTGTCTCTATAGATGTGTCTCACCGGATTTACCGTGTAACTAGAATTCTGGGGTATGTGGTCTTCCTGCACTTAGCATAATGCTTCCAAGGTTCATCCAAATCGTAGCCTGTGTCACTGCTTCTCTCTGTTGCTCCGCAGTATTTCCATGCATGTCACGCACCATGTTTTGATTGACCCGTTCATCTGTGGGTGGCATCTGGGTCATTTCCGCTCCATGGCAGTTATAAGTAACGCCGCTGTGAGCATTGGTGTCCAAGCTGCCATGGGCACATCTCTCGAGTATTTACCCAGAGTGGGGCTGCCAGGCCCTGTTTTCACTGTGTGTGTTTATTTATTTGACAGAGAAAGACAGGGGGAGAGAGGGAGCACTAGCAGGGGGAGTGGGAGAAGGAGAAGCAGGCTCCCACCCAGCAGGGAGCCCGATACGGGGCTCGATCCCAGGACCCTGAGATCACGATGTGAACCAAAGGCAGACGCTTAACCGAGTCACCCAGGCGCCACCCCCGCCCAATTTATTTTCAAGTTAAAAAAAAAAAAAAAACTTCCAAGAGACAAGGATGAAA